CAGAGGTTTATGTATGGATTATGATACACATTTGAAGCTTTCATTTGCTTGAAGTTTCCTCCATAACGAGTCCCCTGCTGTCCAAATTGCAAATTCATCTGATTGTCATTTGGTTCAATCAAGTTTTACTCAAGTCCGGCGAAGCTTCAATATAAGTCCCTTGTTCTTTTGGGTTAGATCCCAAAAGATTCAAGTCATATTTGTTTAGTATTCAAACTGAGCTCAAGTCTGAACTTATTTCATTTAGACTCAAGTATTTTTGTTAATCATTTGAATTCCGTTCAGTTTTAGGCTCAAGTACAAGTCCAAAAACATGTTCAAATAAAGTTCAGGCTCAAAATGAGCCTCTTCCATTCGTCGAATCTCTTGTTGCCCAACTCAAATATTTGCTTGAGTTCAAATTCTAGTTCATATTCAATGTCCAAGCATAGTCATGCCCACTTGAATTTGGGTCCAAATTGCCCAAGTCATATTCACTTAATACTTAGGTCAAATTCAAGTTCGAATTCATTTAGGTCCAAATCTTATTTATTTTCAAATTCTTTACTTGATTTGTTTGAGTTCAATTAAATCATTTATAACAAGTCCAAGTCCCATTTTGTTCCAAGTCCTTTTCTTATTTCAAACAAAATTTCGGCAACCTCCCAACGTCTCCCCCGTTTAGGGGAAAAACCAAGAGGCCGCCTACCCACAACATTAAGAAAGACTTGCACGAATAGTGATTTTTTTTGTGATCCACCACGCCAAGAAAGGCATGCATGGGTTATAAAAAGTAATTTTTTTTAAAAATAGTTCTTTATTGCCTCGCCATGCTAAGAAAAGCACGCACAGGGATCGTCTGCTTCGTTGTAAGCACCGCACCAAGTTCCCTCCCACCCCGCTAAGAAAAGCGTGCATAGGTGGTCCCTTGGCGCACCACGAACACCAAAAAAGGACTTTAGGGGGGATTACCCGCCTCGCCACAAGCATCAGAGCGAACTTCCTCTCACCATGCTAAGAAAATCGTGCATGGGTGGTTATTCGCCCTGTCGCAAGTGCCGAGGGCAGGTTCTCCCAAGTTTAGGAGGTTTATACCTTGGCGGACGTCGAGATAGTGGTGGCATGTGGATCGAGGCAAGGAAAGAGAAGCACTTGCATTTCCTCTTTTTTTAAATCAATTATAATTAAACAAATTAATTACAATTAATTATGATTAAAAATAGTTAATTATAATAAGATTTGATTAAATATAATTAATGTACGATTAATTAATAATTAATTATAATTAAAAATTAATCATAATTAAACTTAATTAATTACGATTAATAATTATTAATTATAACTAAACATAATTGATCATCATTAAATCTAATTAACTATATCTAATTTATAATTAATTATAATTAAAAATAATTCATTTTAATTAAATCAAATTAATTAAATTTAATTCAAATAAATTGATACAAGAATTGAATAGTACTTAGGCTTGACTTGAGCCAGATTTGAGTATTATTCATGCTAAATCTTATTAATAGGATTTATGCAAAATCAGAGTAAGATTTATGCTAAATCTTGTTAAGAAAAATTATCTAAATATCAGATTTATAAAGGCATTGAACGGAATTTAAGCTATATCTCATTTGGACGAGATTTAGTTAATCTTATTGTAACTTAAATCCTCTGTTTCCCCTTTCGACCCCTCTAATTTGCAAGATTTGGTCGAGGAAGCGCAGGAAAGGGATAAAGTTACCTTCACAGCGAGCTCCTACCATGGCTTCCGATCTAAAATGTCGTAACTTCAGCCCTAATAGGAAGGGAATGGCGTCAGATGAGTGAAGTCGACCAGCAACAGAGGGGCTGAAGAGGTGGGGAGTCGGCTAGGATTTGTTGTGGAGTTTGATCGCAAGCTAAGAGAGGGGGATGACACTTGGGCTTAAGGTATGGAGAAAGCTTTCTCTTCCTCTCTCTCTCTCTCTCTCTCTCTCTCTCTCTCTCTCTCTCTCTCTCTCTAGACGAATGAACCCAAAGGTCAGTGGCTTGCGAACAGGGGATCAGTTCTGGGAGGTAGAGATCGGGAGCTTGGTGTCGTCGACAGTTGGAGATGGGGCGTAATCACGAGTTGGGTTTGACTGCTAGGTAGGGATCTGGAGTTGGGATCGTGTAGGAGGGCTACAGGAAGAAGAGGGAGTCGAAGCTTCGTGTGAGGGAGAAGCCGAACAGAAGGCTTCGTTTGGCCTTCTTTTATTGACGGGAAGTGATCGCAGAGCAGAGCAGATACACATGATATCAGGCGGGATCCGCGGGTTCGACCAGTACAAGGTATGATTTCATTTTTCGTTTCCTTTGGGTATTATACAGAGGTCAACAAGTACTTTGTTTATAAGTTATATATATATATATATATATAGTTCTATATGTGTTTCATATGCTTCAATAGAATTATGCACGGCTTCGTGAGAGCAAGGCTTTTGTTGGTAAGGGATCCACTGTGAGATCAATGTAGTACTTAGATTACAGTACGTGATCATAGGCACTAGGAGGCATGCAGAACGAGAGAGTGTATGTATTAGTCTCATAGGCCTATGCATATGAAGCACAATCGTCCAGCTCAGCATCCTTCACAAATAATGGCATTGGGAGTTAGTTATCAAAGGGTGGTGACTTTGACAGCATAAATAGAACAGATGAGGCAAGCACAAGCTGATTTGCAAGCGTAACAAAGTTAAATGCAAACTGAGTTGCGGGCATTCATGTAGCAGCCTCGTCAGCATTAGGCTGAAAAGGCTAAGGAGAGTTAGGAGATTGATGATAAATAATTGCAATTTTGATATGCTTCATTTGATGTATCTATTCAAATTTTTTATGTAATGTACTAACTCATAACATATGAACATAATGTTAAAATTGGCTTTTACTTCTTTATTTAGTTGTCTTCTGTTAAAATTGTCATTCAAAATGATTTTGGTTAATGTTATATTATTATGATATATTGATTTGTTATTATGTGATGCTTGTTTATTCGTAATTATAAGAGAAACTGTACGAAAGGATTTTTTTTAAAAATTTTTCCTACAAGTTTCTAATGGATTTCTAATAATTTTTTTGCCAAAATCCGCGTTACAAAAGTTTCGGCAAAAAAAAAGTTTTAATGTGGGAGAATGTCAATATTTACATTTTGCTATAAAATTTAAAGTCCAAAAGTATATATATAATAACCACCATAGGCTAAAAAAAAACACATATAAAACTAAAGAGCAAAAAGTAGAACTAAACTAGCATCACTGTCTAGTCTCATGTTACAAGCTCCTTACCTTCATCTGATATCATATAAAATCACATAATGAGCATAAAAGCCCAGTAGGTAACCAAAATGTATCATTGCATTCAATGCAAGACAAAAAAACCAATATGACTGCTCCAATTTCAATCCATATCAATAAATAATCAATATTCTATCGATATAATAAAAAAATAAAAAAAAATTATATCAATCAATAGTAAAACCAATATGATAAGAAAGTCAAAAGAAATCTATCAAATTATAAAAAAATTGATAAAAAGGATGATCAATCAATAGGCATGATATGTTATATTGTATCAGTATCAGTGTTAGTACAATCAGTTTCATATCAATTACCTCTATCAATTAATTCATATGACATTATATCAATGCAATCATGTCAATGCAATTATGAAGAGTAAGGCAAGACATCTAGATTTAATGTGGCGTTTTCATCTTTCCACCCCAACCGTCGCCCAATTGGTCATCAATCTTTAATTTAACCCCAATTGTTGCCCAATTAGTCATCAACATTTAATTTAACCCCAAATCACCTTTCTACGCAGGGAATTATATTTTAAGAGCTAACATATATTGATTATAGTGTTAAGTCAGTCTTCTTTGTTTACATGTACATGCTACATTTATCTTATCTCAATTATATTAGTCTCTCTTTAATATATGAAAGGCAACATAAAATACAGGAATACAAGAAAATCTTTATACTAGTCAATACCACAACAACATCAAGCCTTTGTCCCACTATGTGGGGTTGGCTACATTTTTGAAGCTATAATAGTTAATAGGTTCAGAAAATCACAAATTTTATTTTATCCGGTGAAATTCAAGAATATTACAATCAAAATGTTTGTAAGGATAATATCTATCATATACAAAAAGTTATTTGGCTAAAACTCGATAAATCAAGGAAAAATACATTTTTAGCGATTTGGGAGATAAAAAACTCGTAAAAATTAAAATCATAAAAAATGGGAGTAAGAGTATAGTCGTTCAATTAGAATAAAATTCGTAATAGGAGCGGCGAATGAAAATGACACAAAGCAGCTTTGTGTATCTTCTCTCTCTCTCCTCTTCTTCTTCCTTCTCTTCTCCTTTGTCTATCTTCCCGGCCAAGCAAACGGCGCAAGAGGGAGGGAATAGCGGTGATATTTACATTAAAATTTGTTAAATCCCAGCAGTCTCTTAGTGAAAAATTAGGCAAACCGTTTAATTTTTCGCCACCAGCGTCTCACAAGAAAATCTCTCAACTATGTGTTTAGATTCCAGGAACTAAGACAAGCATTTAACTCTCTCGCCCTAAAAATTTTTGGTTTACAGCATGCAACTATAGTGACACCAAAGTGTTTTGTGAACCAATGCATATTCTAATGATCATCTGCTGTGGCAGCAACAGAAAAACTCACCCATCTATTGGTCGTATGGATCTTTCCTAGCCATTGATTTATCATTACAGCAACTTTTTGTGTTGGTTCAAGTTAAGAAAAAAAAAGTTTTAAGTAACAAAATATCATTTGTTTTGCCCCAACTAATCATTCTTTATACTTTCTAAGCCATACATTACTACTATTCCCATGGCCACATATCCTCCATGTACCAAGTCCTGAAATATGGTTCAAGCGTTCCAATTTTGTATTCAATAAACTTTTTTCTTTTAAGGCTTCTTAAATGCTAAACATTCATAACCATAAAACATAAAGTTGAATGTAAGAAGCAAACACACCATAGCATCTTTGGCCGTTATTTCCTCTCTCAAGTCCAACCGTGCACGAGCTTCTGCCAACCTCACTAAACTTTCTAACTGTCTTGCAGTGATAGGGGTACCATCCGCTGAGGTATTATGGTCTCTTAATCGCAGGTAAAATTTCTGCAATATGTCAGCAGCTGGCCTGGACATCCTAACTCACACAGAAAAATAAAAAATAAAAAAGAATTTCTTTATAGGACATGTTATGGGGAACTTAAAATCAAGCACCTGGGGAAAATGTATGTCCTTGCATAAGCAATGTACTTTCGGAGAAGAGGACCTGGTAATGGAACAAAATCCTTATCTTTCTTATGGTCGAGCCTGAGTCGTGAAATCAGGGATCCAGTTGCACCAAATGCAATGTCTCCACAAGATCCCAACACTGTAGGTTTCCAAATTCAAGCATAAAATATTATAAAAATTACGTTCTTGAATCATGGTATGCAATAGATGAAGGAAAAAGCAACCTCTGCTTTGCTTCTTTGCGGGAAATAAATGCTCCCCATTTCCCGCGTGAAGCTGCATGACAAATATATTTGATGATGAATCAACTAGCAGAAAATGCTTTTATGTTACAGCTTTGAAGCTTATTATATAGAAAACTTAAGCAAACTGCATTGATGTAAAACATGTGGAATTCCATTTAAGATCCGAAGCACTTAGCAAAAAAGATATGACTTTATTTCATAAACTAAAAACCAAGTGCAATATTGTCCGCATCAACGCCATTGTTTTTTGTTATCCCTCAAAGCTAATTTCTCATCTTGCACAATCTCCGCTATTGAATTTTAACGAAAATAATTTTTTTATTCCAAAGCCACATAGTATTCTCCGCTACCACACTTTAGTTTCTTAGGTTTCTTACAATCAAATAGTTGTCATAAAAAGCCTTTCTGCTGAATTGTTAAGGAAAATCTTACAGAATCGTATCCCCAAGTTCACACTGCTCTTCTGTGTATTACAAATCAACTTTAGATTCTAAATTGGCATAGCAATGTAAATTCTATTTTATTTCTCTTTTAACATACTGAAGACTTTTAAAGTGATAAAAAATGATAAAATCAAGTTTAGACCGTAGGTGGCATTTTAAATTTGGTTCTACTGCCAATCATGCAATAGAAAAAAATTGATGTCCTTTGGTCTAAAACTGCACAATGTCAGGTGAATGGAGTTTTTGAGGAGGTAGTGGGCGACTTTTGTGGTACTGATAACCAGTTCAAATGAAGAACTTCAATTAGGGATGTAGTCCAAAAAAGGGGAGAATGCGGGAAACCCTGTTTCCAATCCCATAAAGATTTATATATATTATGGTAATGTACATGCTGACACATCTGTCCCACTAAGAGGTCACCAAAGTAATTCAACTTACAGCCATGATATGGTCAGAAACTCGTTTATCAAGCACCTCATCAGGTTTATCTAGTAAAATAAAAACCAAGTCAAATCGTGACAGAAGAGCAGCACTCATTTTCAGGTTCTCATTCACAGTTTTTGCACGGCTGCAAGAAGAAAATGAGTTAAAATGAAAAAAAAAAAAATTACAATGGGTTCAATAAAAGAGTAGCAAAAAACCATACTAACTACATTTAAGAATGAAAATAATATGTCCAAGGAAGGGATAGCATAACACCCTTCTATGAAGTGCTAAACAAAAGTAGCATAATAAAAATCTGAAAAACACAAAACAAACCTCGCATGTTATGATATGAAAAATTTATAGTGAACAATTAATTTAAAATACAAAATAATTATCCCAAATTAACAAAATAATAGAAGTAAAATGAGTTATTGTTTTTTAGAAAATAAACGACTTAATTAAAAAATTCCATTAGTTCATTAATTTAAGATAATCAACTTAAGCTAGGTGCAGTTGGTGCATATGCACTTACTAGTATGCAAAATTAGCTTTGTTAGATTTGAAAGCCGTTTTGCATTCATAAATTATATGTTTCATAGGCCATAAACAATCAAAACGACCAGAGAATTTAGAGAATTAATGTATATGATAATATCCTTACAGGTTTCGAGTATATAGAGAGCCAACAAGGACATGTTTCTTTGGTTTCAAAAAAGGGCTTACTCCAAATTTTTTTCTCTGTATTTATTTATGGTACTCTACAGCCAACCATCAAAATTCTACATCACGAAAATTTCCCTGGAACTTGTGATATAGTCTTGAGATGCTATTAAGATATTAACGTCTATATTTCTTTACACTTAATTACCATGTAAAATGATATGACCAAAAAGTATCTTCGATCATTTTTAGGATAACTTGCCCCTATATTCTTTCTTGGACAAGGTTTTTACCATCCTATACTGTTCTAGTCCAACTTCCTCATAATAATTCTAAGTTTAAAAATTTAGCCTACCCTCTAAACCATGGGCATTAGAGTTATTTTGCTTCATCATCTTAGAATATTTTCCATAGATTAAACATTTCCACGAAAAAATGTACCAATAAAAAAAATGATGGAAATCTATCGCAAATAACTTTACTGGTTATAAATAGTGCACAAGGTCTGTTACAAACTCCTTAACTCCACACAATAAGCATTTTTAAAGCAAACAAAAGCTAGACTCAAACTTAAGACCTTTACCTAAAAATCAGGGACATAATGGTCAAACTGACAAAAAAAAAAAAATACACCCCTTATGATTTGGATAGCTTACACATGAGCAATCTTCAGCATTTGAATTCATGGGAATATCTGCACCCTACAAATGCAGGTATTGGAAAACCTAAAACCAGTTACAACACCGTTTTGTATAAAAAACCACTCAACTTTCAGCTTTTAATCGTGTCAATTGTAAGTTGAATTGCAACAAGGCATTGTGGTCAACATCCTACTCTTTGATGTGTTCATGCCCTTTAATTATTGTCCAATAAAATTTGGAGATAAATCTGCTAGACCACATGAGGGACTGGTCCAGCCGGCCCAAGTGCTGGGCCGGCTCTTGTATTACAACAGGCGGAAGCCTGATGTTCCGCCTGGTCCAAATTTCGCACTCCTGGGAGTGAGATATACTGCCTAATGAAGAGAAGGAGAGAGAGAGGGGGGGGGGGCGGGGAGGGGGGGGAGTGAGAGAGAGGGGATTAGGCTGGAGGGAATTTTGAATTAGGGAGGGCTGCTTAATCCTTTGGAGTGATTTTGTGCTGGCTGTAAGTGGAAATTTTGCGTTAGGTTAGGGTTGTCATCATCTATGTTTGCTGAATTTTCTATAGGATGCTTTGGTGTCTTGGGCTCTAGCGGCGTCTAGAGATTTGGGAGAGATTGATCCTCCTCTAGAATTATGGATCAATTGTATCTTAGTATTTTCCTTCCGTTTCATCCATTAGTGCGAGTTTTCTCCCTGTTTTGCTCGATTTGTTTGGAGTATCTTAGTGGAAGATCACTAAAATCTTAATATTGGTAAGAAGAACCAGTGTTCTACAAGCGTTCCCTATCAAATTCGTATCAGAGTAGTTTCCGGGCTATTTTTTGGGCTGCTTTAGCAGTTTCCTACAGCAGTTTTTCTATTTCGAACAGCTGTTTTGCTGTTTTTACGGTCAAAATCTAGATTTTTTAGTCTAACAAAGATCCGGGTATCGAGGGCAGCCAAAAAGGTGGATGTTTTGGAAGAATGACTTAAGGGGGAGATGTGTCCAATTAAGGCGAAGGTGGAGGATAGAATTTCCTCCACGGAAGGCAAATTCTCGGATCTCCAAGATGTGGTGAAGAAGATATGGGATCTTCAAAACCAAACAGCGGCATCAGAGGCAAGAGTGCCAGTGCGAAGAAGTATGAATTATGAAATTCGTAGGGATAAAAATGATGTCAGTGGGAGAAGGGAGAAGACCCTATCTGAAACCTTTCTAGAGGAAGGAGAGGTGAAAGGTATGGGAAGAGGCGTGGATATGTGGGGTAAGAGCAAAGGGATGCTGATTGGGAAAGAAGGAAGGGAGGTTATGGCCAAAGGGGTGCTAATATTGAAGGAAGGAGGGGGAAAATCAAATAAGGATTTGGGTATGAACGTGGAAAAAAGGATCGGGACACTTGGGGGGACCACCCACTTATGGAAGGGAAAAATATGGAGAAATTAGGAGAAATGGAGGGGATCAGAAGGTAAGGAAACTGAAGATGCTCTTCTTTGAGGGGAGGATGCCCACAAATGAATTTACAAGCTAAAGAGATATTTCACTATCAATTGGTTGACTGTGGATGAGAGTTGAAGACAACCAGCCTATGTTTGAAAGGGAATGTGTTGGCTAGGTAATAGTGGAGAGACATGAGGCGGCCCATACAGAGCTGGAGGGAGTTCAAAGAGTGCTTATTGAAATATTTCCAAACTAACAGAGTAGGTAACTTCTATGAGCAGCTCTTTGCCCTGATATAGGAAGGCTTGGTGGCAGAATACCGCGAGAAATTTGAGTACCTAACGAGCCGACTGGATAGGCTGTCTGAGACTGTTTTGGAGGGAAATTTCATGAAGGAGCTCAAATCAAAGATTCGGGTAGCAGTGAGATCCATGAGGCCTAATGACTTGGGAGAGGCTATGGAGCTAGCTCAGCTGGTGGCGGATCTAAAGTACTAAGAGAGGGGAGCTAAAGGCAGCAGTTCAAGTGGTGTATGCAGGATGACTAGCACTTTCTTATCACCCAAGGAGCCTACACCGGGCAACATTCGTAAGACCCCAAGGGAGAAGCCTCATAGGAGAAAGTGAGAAAAACTTCAAAAAGCTAACTAAGAGGGAGGTGCAGGAAAAGAGGGTGGGTGAAGGGATTATGCTTCCGATTTGATGAGAAATATACTCCGAAGCATAGGTGCAGGGACCAAACTCTTTAGGCTCTCACTATCTATGATAACGAGAAAGATAAGGAGGGAGGTGAGAGTGAGACATGGGTAAAGGAAGAAAAACTGCATCTAGACGTAGCAAAGGTCTCCCAAAACTCAGTGGTAGGATTCACTACAAGTCATACCATGAAGGTAAAGGGAAAATAGCAGACTGAGAGGTGGTAGTGTTGATTGACAGTGGGGCTACCCACAATTACATCTCCAGCAAAGTCATGGACCAATTAGGGGTGACATTGGTAGATACAAAGTGCTATGAAGTGATGATGAGTACAAGGTGGAGACGGCAAGAGCACCTGTAGAAGAGTAGTGTTGACCAATGTTTAAAATTGCGTATTCGGGTATTGAGGCGTTTTTCATTCGTGAGGCGAGGCATAAGCTTCAAGGCGTAAGCCTCAAAATCAAAAGATTGTAAACATAAAATGATAATTTTTTTATATACTAATGAGTGAATAATATAAAACATAAAAAAGTATAAGATATGAAGTGAAATCAAAATATTCCAATAATAAGCAACATGAAATATAGTTCAACTCAAAATTCTATCTTTCCCAAATCCCATTATTCTTTTCATTAACATATAATTCAAATTTTCAAAAATAAATAGCAATGACATATCACATAAGAACTCATAAGTCATCAGCACTATCATCACTAAGGCGTTCTTCATTTGAATCATCATTATGATGAACTGCTCTCTCCCCATCCTCCTCTCCTATAGAGTCCAATGTCGGGCATTTACTTCAAGATTTATGTAAGCTTTAATATACATAGCGTGAGGCATTAAGCCCATTCAGGAGGTGAGGCGGCCTCAATTGGTTGAGCCGCAAGCCTCATAAAAAAAAACTCGAGCGTAAGCATCGATGGCGTTTTTTACTGAATTGCGCCAAAGGCGGGCCTCAAGCGAGCCTCATATTGCGCAATTTAAACCATGGTGTTGACCAATCAGGGGTTTCAAGTAGGGAGGATTTCCTCCCATATTGTTAGGCAACAATAATGATCATCCAGGGAATGAATGTGGCTGCAGAACCTTACGAAATACCAAGATTAATTGGAGGGAACGGACCATGGAGCTAGTGATGGAGGGGAGAAGAGTAGTGATCAAGGGAGATCGGGGTTATCCAAAGCCATGGTGTCCCTCACAAACCATGGTAAGGAGCATATATGAGGTGGGGAGGTTTCCTGATGGAGCTAGAAGGATTAAAGGGGATTAGATTGGAGGAGAAATTCCCTTTCAGTACAGCTGCTAATACAGCAATTCAGTGAGATCTTTCACCATCTCATGGATTGTCACCACCAAGGGGTCAGAGCATGTCATCACCCTGAGGAGAGCATGTTGTCACTTATCATTGTCAGGCCATACCACTACCTCAATTTCAAAAAGATGAAATTGATAAATTAATCAAAGAAATGTTGGATGCAGGGATTATCAGGCCTAGTGCAAGCCCTTTTTCTACCAATCTTACTAGTTAAGAAAAAATTCGAGAGTGGAGGTTCTGCGTGAACTACAAGGCTTTGAGTAAGGAGACTATGCAAGACAAATTTCCCAATCCCAGTGATAGTTGAGCTTATTGGATGAGTTGTGTGGGTAAGTTTATATTCACCAAGATAGATATGAGTCTGGATACCATCAAAATTCAAATGAAAGAGGAGGACCTGTCGAAGACTGCTTTCGAAAAACACATGAGGGGAATTATGAGTTCCTGATAATGCCTTTTAAGGTTCACTAATGTCACAGCTACATTCATCCCTAATGAACAACGTGTTCCGACCTATCTCAAGAGATTTGTGCTAGTTTTCTTTAACGATATCCTAGTGTACAGCAGGTTAAATGAGGAACATTAGGAGCATTTGTGGACAGTCCTAGAGGTGTTACAGGAGCAATAGCTGAGGATCAATTTGAAGAAATGTTTTGCTTTGCACAAGCCAGTGTGGAATACTTCAGCATGTAGATCTCAGGGTGTAGCCACTTATTAGGCTAAGATTGAGGCAATGCTGAGATGCCACTAATAAAGAATCTGAGGGAAGCTGAGGGGTTTTCTAGAAGTGATAGGATACTCAGGAGGTTCATAAGGGGCTATAGCACTATAGCATGGTCAATGACAGAATAGTTGAAGAAAGATAACTTCTTGTTGGGGAGGCAGCCACAACAGCTTTTGAGAGAACAAGAAGGCCATGACACTTATATCGATTTTGGCCCTACCAAATTTCAATCAGGTTTTTTTATTAGAGACGGACGCATCAGGGTATGGATTGAGAGTAGTACTCATGCAAAGCCACCGACCATTGCTTACTTTAGGCAGGTGTTGACAGCAGAACCAGGATGAAGTCAATCTACGAGAGGGAGTTGATGCCAATTGTGCTAGCCATCTAAAAATGGAGACCTTACTTGTTGGGTCGACATTTCCATTGTCAGGACGGACAGAGTGGAGCTTGAATACTTGTTAGAGGAAATAATGGTGACAGAAGAGTACCAAAGATGGCTGTCAATGTTATTGAGATATGACTTTGAAATCCAGTATAAGCCCGGGATAGAGTAACTAAGGCAGTGAATGCTTGTCCAGATGTATAAGAGAGCTAAAAGAGATGTGTTGTGTCAATACCCGTGATGGCAGGATGGGGCCACTTGAGGAGAGTGCGCGGGATGAGGTTGGGAGGATTAGTTCAGATTTATTGAAGATGGAAAGAACACCCTGCTATTCTAGAGGGGTAGAGGTTTGTTGTATCCATGGAGATTTGTGATGCCTAGGATCCAATCCATATTCCACACCTGTAAGAGTACTGCTTGCCACCTGCAAAACATGGGCAAACAAAATGCTAAACAGGAGCTTAGAGACATATTTATGAAATGGTTTTTTCGGGAGAACCTTAAAGCTTTGGGGGGCCCAACCCCGGGCTAGCATGAACAAGGTACGTGATACAATACGTTGTTAATCATTCCTCTTCCTAAATTACCCATTCAAAGTGTTGTATAGAATAGATCCACCTCACCTAGTGCAATTTGGGCGAAGTAGCACTCCAAATTCTTCTGTAGAAGAATACTTCGAGGAGGGACAAGGTGTTTGGAAAAATTGAAAATGCATCTGTTAGGGCTCAGCAGATTATGAAGACAACGGTGGATGGCCACAGAAAGGACATCCATTTGTAAGTGGGGGATAGTGAGTTCTTGAAGCTTAACCTTACATAGAGGATGATAGCTAGAAGAATGGACGAGAAGCTATCTCAAGATACTTTGGCCCTTATGAGATATTAGAAAAGATTGGGAGATCGTATCATTTGAGGTTACCCCCAACCGCTACCATACACCCAATGTTACCATGTCATTACAGTTTAAAGAGAATATGAGAGGATCACTTAGCGGAGTTCAAAGTTTCTAGCAACATTGATTGAAGATGATTTTAAGTGGTATTAGAATCTCTTGAGCTATAAGGAATGCACCAAGGGGAGGGAGGGTGAAAGAAGTATTGATCAAGTTGGAGGAACCTTCCCGATTATGACGCACTTGGGAGCTTTTATGAAGGGTTCAACATCAGTTCCATCTTTTTCACCTTTAGGATAAGGTGGTTCCGTTTGGAGCCGGGGTATTGATGTGGGCTCCGAAATTGGCCCGGCCTCCGGCTCGCTCTTTTCTTTCGGCGCGGGAGTTTTAACTGAAACTAAGTTCCGAGGTAAATTTTGGAAGGCAATGGGTTCCTAGATAAGACACTACCCAGAGATTTGCGAACCTCATATTGCGAGGACTTTATGATCTGAGTTCTGGTTTCCTATAGGGTGCAAGCCCCTATAGTTAATTGACCCCTCTCGATAACGAGAGATAAATTTCAATAAGGCTAGTCGTCAATCAGATACGTATAGATACGTGTTATCTGGCATATGTTAGTAGCAGCAATGGAAATGGAATTTTGTGATTTCTGAAGATTTGGATGTTTGAAAATTTGAAGGTTCATATGTTTGAATTTGAGTTGAGAGATTTGAGAAATTTGTATTTAAAATTGGAATTTCACCAATCTGGAACTTAAAGCGGAGGTGGGGGAAATGGATGATAGACCCGATCAAGATCCCTGGTTTCCGTCGTCCCGAGCCCATCGATGGTCCCCTCCCCCCATGTCTACTTAGTCAGAGGAGGTAGTCGACCCAACCTGACAGAAGGATCCTTGTCGGCAGCCATGGGTTGCTTCGTCCAAGGGTACCTTGTAGACCGGGGGTGAATGTTTGTCTAAGGGGACAAATTTGAATCCACCTTAGCTTACAGAGGGCTTTGTGCCCTATCGACATATCCTATTGATTCATATCTCAAGGATTTAACGCCATTAAGGAGCGTATTGGCTCTGGCCATAACCGCTATCTGTGGTGCCATTTGGCGGCAAAACTACTCGGTTCAGAGGGCCCCGGGTCATAACCGTTTACCTGCAGTGCCATTTGGCGGCGAAACCGCCGGTTAGAGGACACGTACCACGTCCTTACTGGCAAGAGATTGTTTGAGAATGGATCCTAATGATATTTTCAACTAGGCATTTGGCTCTATGTGAGCTAAAGTAAATTTTAATTTGTCCACCCCGGCAAACTGTTGCGGAGGGTGGATGGGCTTTGCTTTAAGCGATTGATGTTTTGATTTCATTTTTAAATATATGGAATTTGGATTTTTTGTGGAGCTTTGGATTTTGGGGATTTTTGGATTTTTGTGGGTATTTTGGGTGGAGTTTTGAAATATTTGAAATAAACTTTGGATATTTGGGAGACATTTGAAAATATTTGGAAATGGACCCCTCCGGTTGAGATCTGCATTCAACACGGCCATCATCGGGGTGTACTTGGGTCATTTCTATTTGTAGCTTGAACCTTATCAACTCAGCCGAACTATTGACTGAGGATCGGGTTTCATAGGCTTCGTGCCTTTATTAGTGAATTCATATTGTTGTAGGCCTTGAAGACCTAATATGAATGTTTCAAAGCAAATATATCGATTGCCACAACTTTATATTTGCTTAATGGTTCGAACCCTGTCGACTTCTATTAACCTGTATAGAAGGATCGATTTCGAACCTGAATTCACTTGTCAACCCGTACAGCATCCCTAGACGTCACGTGCGTACCAATAACACGCTCGCCGGGGCCCATGCGGGTTGAGAATATATTTCCCCCTTTAGTGTACCTATGTGTATACAATTTATAGTGCACGTGCAGGGGGTATTTTTGGAATATTTATAGACACCTTCTGTCTGCTTGTACGGATGTTGCAGATCCGGTGGCGTGGCGTAGCAGCTTCTGAATTAAGTTGTTCGCTGCTTCGTACAGGTAGACTGTCGTGCACTACTCGTTGCTTTCTACCCGGAACTCCCCCTATCGCTGTCCAGAATTTTTCCATAGCAAAATTCCTTACTGTCCAGCGTCCAGGAAGGCCACAACTTGCTGTCCATAGTCACCGGCAGCCCAAGGAGCTGGCTGAAACTCGTCTACACCTTATTGGATGCTGTGGAGGATCTGTCCACAACAACACCGCTGCTGTCCTGAAGTTCTGCACCTCTTCCCGGGTGTTCCTTAGTGAGAGAAGGTTTGTGGTTGCTGTCCACTTCATTCCCAGCTTTCAAACAACCTTGTCGGAGTGAGTATCTCTCTTGTCTTTGGGTAAACTCGACACCCGACTCTCTATCTTCATAGTTGCATCCTTGAATGTGAATTTATTATCTTCATGAAGATCATGTTAATGTTTCTCCGCTAAACCTAGTAATTGGAAGAGTTGTGTGAAGGATCTTCTTGTAGCGACTAATCTCATTGTTAGTTTAGGGATTATCGTTGAAAATCAACCATGAACGCAATTTTAGATTAATTGATTGTTTTACTATCATAACTCCTATGCATGTGATTTAGCCTAAGCTTGTCTTACCGCTCTTTGTGTTTTCTTTTGTCGTTAGAAAGTTTATTGTGAAGATATGATTACTGTGGCTTCTAACACTTAAGCGTGCAAACTCTTCAAGTAATTCAACTTTGCATGTACGGTATTACATCAATACAAGAGTTTACATAGATGCACAAGGCTATATACAAAAAGAAATTTGCATATGTAAACGATGAGTGAGAATAGAGGACCAAAGGAACTGACTTATAATGTCCACCAACAGGATTCGCTGCAGCTAGAACAGAAGTACGTGCAGAAAGACTTGCTACTAATCCAGCCTTTGCAACGGAGACACACTGTTGTTCCATGGCTTCTAGAAGAGCCTATTACAAGTTTATATAAACAAGGCATTTTCCATCAGGAAAAATACATTGTAGCCAACAGAAAGAAATCAACCAAAGTTACCTGATGCTCTGCAGACATTTTATCAAATTCATCAATACAGCATGAACCAGAGTCAGCAAGAACCATAGCACCTGTTAATAAAACGAAGTAAATATCATGGACTGAAGGCAGATGAATTCAGCATGAACCACAGTCAGCAAGAACCATAGCACCTGTTAATAAAACGAAGAAAATATCATGGATTGAAGGCATTAAACTTCAATCCATTTTAAATTTATTCTACTCATTTTTCTATTTAATCTTTTTACATCAATTTTATCTATTCAGAGTATTAATGCATCCTCAACCTTCTGTTATCAATTTCCAAACAAGTGATTATTTTCTACTAGTTTGTCTTCAAGTAGTGTTATAATGTAGAATGCTCTGGGATCCAAGGTTAAAAATGCACATCTAACATGCAACTATGATTTAGCTGCACTGAACCATTGAAAAAACATGCAATTTCTGTAGGAAACAAGCTATGAATCATAAAACAACTATTTATTACTTACAATAAAAACTAAAAATGCTAAATTTCAAATCCGGCAAAAGAATTTTTATCTTCTAAATTGTAAAACCCGAAAAACGTCGATCGTAAGTGTTGCACGCATTTCGATGCACCGCGATGAAATTTAGCCAAATTTCAGATTTCGATGAAAATAATTTTATAAAATAGTACATGAAATTTTGATCAAAAAGATATAAATGACCTATATGAAATTTCGCATAGATTTGAAATTAAAAAACAAATAAGTTTACGATTTTTTTTTAAAATGACTTAATAGCCCTTAAGAATCTTAAAGAAAAATAAATGCATGAGAAGGCAAAATTGTCTTTTGGCAAATCTCTAAACCACCAAAAGGCTTAAGGGACCAAATAGTTTCGGCCCCTTTCATTACTTCCGCACGACCTCATTCGGGCGAACGCAAGAAAAGGCGTGGAAGGGAGAGGAAGGCAACGGGCAGGGCTTTGGGCGACGGCGGTAAGGCGGTTACCAGTAGAGCTTCTTGGGAGAAATCAAAGAGGGAAGTTAAGGTATGTTCCTAAACCTATAAATATTCATTTCCCTTAGATTTTTGGAGGAGAAAATTTTAGGGTTTCTTCAAAACTTGAAATTTTTCAAAACGAATGTTAGGGAAGATTTAAAAATATTTTCTATTATGATATTTGTATCTTCCTCAGTAAATCTTCAAGTTTCAAAATTTAGGGTTTTTGTCTAATGTTAATTTTTACATAAAGTTCTTAACATGTATTATCCCAAATGATCATATGAGAGTTTTTAATGATAGAAATTAGAATTTTTCATGAAAATTTTATTTTCCTAATTTTATTTTAAGAAAAATCCGAAAATAGAAATTATTTTAAATTAATTTTAGGTTAAGAGTAAGGGGTTAATTTGGATAAAATATGGATTTAGACCAAAATATGAAATTTTTAAAAATTTAGATTTATTTAAATCCGAAAATATGAACATTAAAATTACAAATTTAATGGATATAGAATTTTGGCAAGTTTTTGGATAATAACAAAAATATTTACATGCTTTATGTGTTAAAATTAGAAGTGGAGGGAGAGAAAGAAAGAAGGAAAATAATTTATAATTAAGATTTTTCATTATTAGAATAATAATATTTTATGTAATGACTTTAATATTTACAGAATATTGTATAGGAGTTGAGTTGTTGGCATAATAGTGATTAAATCAATTTGTTAAGGCATCCGAATTCAAAATGAGTACTCATGCTTTTAAATTACAGTAATTATATTTGTTTCTCTTACAATTAACTATTGTTATTATTTAGTCACTTATTGTTAAAGTTGATTTCTCCTTCTCCAAGAAAATCGATCATGTTATTATTTAATTGCTCAATTCATTAAACACAATAATATATATTTTTATTATATATTATTATGATATTCATCATACATTTCAATATTAAATGATAAATAGAATGTAAATGATATGATTGTTATAAAAGGCTTGCATATGTATGCTGAATTGATGGAGCTCACCTCCTCATAGTACTAGCTGAGGACACTGTACTCGTGCACGTTAAAAGAAAAATGAAATGGAAAAGGAGTATCATCATTGTTACTAAATTTAGACGGTGATTCCTGTGACGGTTGTACTATATATGAAAATAAGAAAGATATGAATACAGATATGATGAGTGTAAACCGAATATAATATGACATGTATTTTTTATTTTTTTTGCATAACATTATATATTTAAAGTCTGGAATGAAATAAATGATATGTTCAAATGAAATAAAATTTAAGATATGGAATGAAAAAGTGTCATCAAGCATATTCCTTCTATTGCCCTGAGTTACTGTAGTTTAGAGGCATGTGTTACTCGCTAAGCTTTGGTTTATTGTTGTTGCTCCAACTTTTATTTCAAGTAAGTTTAAGATAATTCAATGCGCAGAAAAAAACAAAAATGTCTACCGCAGACGTGAGGCACCAGAAGAAAGGTATTTAAGTTATTTTTATATCAATTTATGTTTTTGATGTTTAGTGGCTCTTTCAATGATTTGGAAATAGATTAAGATTATGATTATATCGTCTGACCGTCTGTTCTCGTCTCATTAATTCAAACCCCCGGGTCGAGTCATGACAAAAGTGATATCAGAGCCACAAGGAGTATCCTAGGAATGTGAATCGTAATGAAAGAGCTATATGAATGATTTATGACCTTATTTGAGAATTTAAATATTCGATTAGATAAGACAATTAATTACTTTATAATTATATCAGGTATATGACTGATCAAGAGGATGTAACCGATAGACATATGGAAGGAGAAGACATACCACCTGAAGTGACTGTGAACACCAACATCTTTACCAAGATGATGACAGCTGTGACCCAACTACTTCAGGAATCAAGATCACAGCCTGGTGTTGGAATTAATAAATATCTGAAAATATTTCAGGACAAGCAACCACCTCTATCCAAAGGTAGTGAAGGACCAATTGAGGCTGAAAATTGGTTGCTTCATATAAAGAAAATATTAGATAGCATATCATGTCCTGATGAGAGGAAAGTGACACTCGCTACTTTTATCTTGGACGGATAAGTAGAAAGGTGGGGGAGAGGAGAACACGAAGATAGGCTGGAAGATATTCCAAACTTACAGGTCAACTGGGAAGACTTTGTAGAATTGCTCAGAGAATGGTTTGTACCTAGGTTAGCAAGGAGATAAATGCAGGACAAATTTATCATACTGATTCAAGGAGACAAATTAGTGATATAATACGAAGTAGAATTCACCACACTATCCAGATATGCACCACAACTAATTTCAACAGCAGAAAAAAAAATGTTTAGATTCTTATCTGGTCTAAAGAATGCAATTAGGCAACCTTTAGTACCTTTAGGAATAGAAGATTATTTGATGTTGGTGGAAAGAGCTAGGAGGGTGGAGATCGATTTTCAACTCACTCAGAAGAGAAGGGACCAGCATAAAAGTAAGTGTTGAAGAAGATATTCAAAGCAATTATATTGAAGGATCAAATGGGAAGAAGCCCAAGTTTACTCCAAGTGGAGTCAGTGGTGCAACTGTTAATAAAGTTATGGAAGCTTATGCTAAGTGTGGCAGATTACATAAAGGTGAATGTCTGATGGGTTCCAACACTTGCTACTGGTGTCGTCAGCTTGCACATAGATAAAATATTATCCTAAATTGGGACAAAAGACTTTTGGAGAGATGAGATCAAATGAAGCACCTTATAGAGGAATTTTGGCAAATAAAAGATGATATAACCATCAGTTGCAGGTTTAGTACAAAATCAAACCATGCAGAATGTTCGACCACAGGTTTATACTTTGACTCAGTAGGAACCCAATGAATCTATAGATGTTAGCAAGGATGGTTGAGATGACTTTATTATCTAGTATAGTAACTTGTTATGTTATATCAGATATTTTGGATTTAGTAGTTTATTTTGTTATATAATGTCAGATATTTTGGATTGATCAAGTTATTTTTGTTATGTTATATCAAATATTGTTTTCACTTTCAATGTCAAAATTTATGTTAAATGAAATGGAAGATGTTGTTTGATTGTATAACTAGAAGTCGTACATAAATTTTGAGGACAAAAAATTTTATGAGGGGATAATTGTAAAACCAAAAAAATGTCGAAAGCGTTGCACGCATTTCGATACGCCATGATGAAATTTAGACAAACTTTCAAAGTTGTCGGATTTCGACGAAAATAAATTTATAAAATAGTATATAAAATTTCGATCAAAATGATATAAAAGATCTATATGGATTTTTACATAGATTTGAAATTAAAATCAAATAGGTTTCCGAATTTTTTTAAATGGCTTAATAGCCCTTAAGAATCTTAAAGAAAAATAAATGCATGAGAGGGCAAAGTGGTCTTTTAGCAAATCTCTAAACCACTAAATGGCTTAAGAGACCAAATAGTTTCGGTCCCTTCATTTCTCCCGCATGACTTCATTCGGCCGAACGCAAGAAGAGGTGCAGAAGGGAGTGGGAGGCTACGGGCAGGGCTTCCGATGGCAGTGGTAGGGCGGTGTCCGGCGGAGCTTATTTGGATAAATCAAAGAGGGAGGTCAAGGAAAGTGTAAGGTATGTTCATAAACCTATAAATCTTCATTTCCCCTTAAATTTTAGGAGAAGAAAATTTTAGGGTTTCTCCAAAACTTAATATTTTTCAAAAGGAATGTTATGGAAGATTTAAAAACATTTTCTAATTATAAAATTTGTATTTTCCTCAATAAATCTTCAAGTTTCAAAATTTAAGGTTTTTGCCAAATGTTAATTTCTATGGAAAGTTCTTAACATGTACTATCCCAAATGATTGTATGGGGGTTTTTAATGATAGACATTAGGATTTTTCATGAAAATTTTATTTAAAAAAAATCCAAAGATAAAAATTATTTTAAATTAATTTTAGGTTAAGGTAAGGGGTTAATTTGGATAAAATATGGATATAGACCAAAATATGAATTTTTAAAATTTAGATATATTTAAATCTGAAAAATATTAACATTAAAATTACCAATTTAATAGAAATAGAATTTTGGCAAGTGTTTGGATAATAACAAAAATATTTACAAGATTTGTGTTAAAATTGGAATGGGAGGGAGAGAAAGAAAGAAGAAAAATAATTTATAATTAACATTTACAATATTAGAATAATAATATTAGAATAATAATATTTTATGTAATGATTTTAATTTTTACATAATATTGTATAAGAGTTGAGCTGGTGACAGAATAGTTATAGAATGTTTGCATGTGCATGCTGAATTGATGGAGTTCACCCCCTCATGGTATTAACTGGGGACATTGTAATCGTACACATAAAAAGGTAAAGGAAATGGAAAATGAAATGGAAAATGAGTACCTTCATTGGTACAAAATTTAGACAGTGTCTCCTGTGACGATTGTACTATATATGAAAATGAAAAATATATTAATATAGATATGACGAGCGTAAATTGAATATGATATGACATATATTTATGATTTTTTTGTATAACATTATATATTCAAAGTCTGGAATGAAATAAATGATATGCTTACATGAACTAAAATTTAAGATATGGAATAAAAAAAATGTCATCAAGCATATTCCTTCTATTGTATTGAGTTACTATAGTTTAGAGGTATGTGTTACTCGCTAAGCTTTGACTTATTGTTGTTGCTCTAACTTTTATTTCAGGTAAGTTTAAAATAATTCAATGAGTGAAGAAACGAAAATATTTACCTTAGACGTGAGACACCAGAAGTAAGAAATTTAAGTTATTTTTTTATATCAGTTCATATTTTTTATGTTTAGTGGCTCTTTCAATGATTTGGAAATAGATTTAGATTATGATTATATCATCTGACCACCTATTCCAATCTCGTTAATTCGAAACCCTGGGCCAGATAGTGACATAAATAATAACTATTAATTTAAGATACATAAAGCCATACAAGAAACCAAATTATAATAAATCTAACAAAAATAATAACTTAAATAATAACAACAAAAGAAGAGAAGAAGAAGAAAGTGAAAGGAGGATAGAGGAAGAAATAATTGATGAGTAAGCCATATGCTTTAAGGAAATAGCCGCTCCCAAAATGAATTATGTCTCACACTTGATCAAGGATTAGAATTCCAAAAGAAAAAGAATAATTTGCCCATTCAAATTAAATTTTAATATCAAGTCGTAGCACATGCTCAATAACTACCTCCCATAGTTTTAATATATGACACATTATCTTGATTCTTCTATAATTTGCACACTCTTGTGCATCACATTTATTCTTAAAAATAGGAATCATCATACTACTCCAATCATCTGACATCTTATTAGTCTTCAAAATAACATTAAGAAGTTTCATAAGCCAATAATTCCTTCATCTCATAAGCATTCCACACCTCTACAACAACAACAACATCAAGACTTTATCCCACTACATGGGATCGGCTACATAAATCCTTTTTCTTCATTCCACACTTCTCCATAAGCATTCCACACCTCTATTGGAATATAATTAGGTCAAACTATTTCACTCAGGAAAAACACTGTGTAAGCATAAATCCTGCTTTGCATCCATAGGATTCCATTCTCCTTGAGACAGATTATAATTAACCAGATTTTTCCTGAGAATAGCATCAAGATTTATTTAGATTAGGATCCTTATGAGGGCATGCCCTCATAGATAATTATACTTCTTACTGCGCAAGAGAGAACTCTCGATTAAGGATGAACAATTTTAGGTGTTTTAGTCTTAGTTGTGCGGGAAATGGAGGTTAACCCGATCAAGATCCTATATTTCCATCATCTCAAGTATACCATAGGTTTCAATTTATTAACACTAACGATCGTTGATCTTAGTATCCTAGAATCTGATTAGCACTCATGAGTTGCCACCTCTTAGGGATCTCGTGTAAATCAAAGTGATTTATTGTGAATTTTAGTATTATGGTGATTTAGTTTGAGTTAGGGCTTATGGCTATACTTGAGAGTTGCCCGTATATTTGGATTTGAGTTGGGGCTTACAGCTTTCAATGAAACTAACCCATACAATGGTTTTATGGCTTCACTTTAAAGTTGCCTATAGATTAGAAAAGTTCGGTCATATTGCTTTCATTGAAAGTAGCATGATTTGTTTGGACAAAAAATTAATCTTACTGATACTATTAGAAGTAGCCTGATTTATTTGGGAGGTTGGATCTTACTTCTTTTATTGAAAGTAGCCCAAAGGTTTGGAAGGTAGGGTCTTACTGCTTTCATTAAAAATAGCCAGGTTATTTAAGAAGTGGGACTTACTATTTTCATTAAAAGTAGCTCGTGTGTTTGGTAGTGGGTCGTACTGCTTTTATTGAAAGTATCCTGGGGTTTCAATTTAAGACAAGTCTTACGACTCTGTTTACGAGTTGCTTGGTTGTTTGGCTAAAAGTTGCAAGAGCAGGAGTATACAGCTGCAAGGTTTGTTAGAAGCTAGAACTTGGAGAGCTTAGGTTTGTTAGGAGTTTTCGACTTTTCTTTGTTTTGAGTTTTAGTGTTTTTGTTTTTGGAGTTTAGACCTTACTTGATAGGTGTTGTACTTAGGTTTGTGTAGTGTAAACATTATTCTATATTTTTTGAATGCATTTTATTAAATTTCAAAATAATTTGCAATAATTAATTAGGTTATTAATAAAAAAAAACAAGTTTAAATTTTAATTTTAATTAATTAACTACTCAGCTCGTCGACCCCACATAGTAAGATAAAGGCTTGTTGTTGTTGTTGCTGCTCAGCTCGTCGATTAAAGTATATTTAAAAGTTATTTAATTATTAATTAAATATAAAATTAGTTGCTCAATTAATTTATTTAATTTAAAAGAATTAAATTTAATTAACTATTTATTAATTAAAAGTTTTAATTTTTTTTAGTATTTTAGATTACTTAAAGTAGCTTGACCCTTAGGTTTATGAGCATATAGAGCTTTTATAAGTTGAACCTATATTTTAATTTTCTTTTTAGGCATCGATCAACAATTAGGTTTGTCAGCACGAAATATTTGACCATCATGGGTAAAACATATCATTAATAAGCATTTCATATATAATCACCTTCTACGTTGCAAAAGCATATATATGACAGTTGCAACCTACTTAGCTGTAATATAAAAAATTTGTCGCCTGATTTACGTTAGATAGTAAATGCCTCATGCTTTGCAGGAAGATAGTCCCCTGAACTTCTCACGCGATTTGCTCCAAAAGAAATTAACGAATAAAACATATGACACACGAGTAGTCGCTAATATTCACTATTGAATGTGATTACTCAGTTAGAATGGCAAAAAAAATTCGTTCAATAGGCGTATACACGTCGCATGCGACCGCTCGAGTCGCCTGTTTTGCAGTTCCGCTGAACCGCGTGACCCTGCTCGCCTTCTTAAATGAACTAGTCCGGTCCGGTTGAACCGGATCAACCGGTTCTTACAAAAAAGAAGGCATGAACCTCTCTCACAAGCTTAGGGTCCTTAATTTTTCGAGGTAGATTGAATTTTAAATTAACCAGATTTTTCTTAAGTGTAGTGTCAAGGTTTATTTAAATCTGAGTCATACATCCTATGTGCGCCAGCCCTCAGTTAATTACCCCCTCTAACGCATAGAAAGGCACTCTCAATTAAGGATAAAATTATAATTAGTTTATGAATGAAGTACATATGTGTGTGCTACAATATGTGAGGGGATGAAAGTAGACCCGATCAAGATCACATAGTTCTATCATCCCGAGAAAACCTTAGGGTTCAGTCTACCAGCTAGCGGCCATTGATCGTAATATCTAAGAAATCTATTAGCAGCCATGAGTTGACTTTCTCAGGAATCCCGAGTAAACTAAAGTTGATATATATTCGTCATTTAGTTTGGGTAGGAACTTATGGCTCCATTTAGAAGTTGTTCATAGTTTAAATTTGAATTAGGTCTTATGGCCCCGTTTAGGAATAGCCCGTAATTTAGATTTGGGTTGGGGCTTACGGCTATCATTTAAAAGTAAATCGTGTGATTGGATTTGAGTGGGGACTTATGGCTTTCATTTGAAATCAGCATTAATGGCAGGTCTTACAACTTAGCCCTATAGGCTAAGATGCTCATATTATGGGGATTACAACCTAGCCTTATAGACTAGGATGCCCGATAGAGGTGTCTAGGGTTATATTATTACCTGGACATTTTCTCTTAAAGATCAATTTTACGACTTCCATTGAAAGTGGCCGGTAAAATTTCAGGTCTATATTGTTTCATTCAGTAGATATATTTAATAAAATGGCTACCCATAGAATTTACTGCTTCTATTAGAAGTGGCTTATGGCTAGATTAATAGAGATGTAGCTTTACCCAATTCTCTACCTTGATACCATTTTTAGACTTTTAGGTCTCATAGCAGTAGTAGCTTTCTTACTTGCAGTAGTTGTTTTACTTACTAGCTTTACTTTGTTAGAACTAGGCGCTAACTTTTGTTTATATATTTGCAGGTAGCTTGGAGAGTTGTTGTGAGTTGGAGAGAGTGTTTTTGTTTGGAGAGTTGTGGTTTTGTTTTGTTAAGAGCTGGTTTTGGTGTTGTGCTGTTTAATAGCTTGTAATTAGGTTGGATAGTGGAAGCATTTATTTCATGTATTTTCTTTTATTTTATTTTAATTGCATTAATTAAGTAGAATAATTAATTAAATTTTAAATTTAATTGCAGTCAAAATTAATTGCTCAACTCTCCAATTAAAAATGTATTTTAAAATTATTCAATTATTTACATTATTAATTAAGATTTAAAGCTCCCACCATGTGAGATCCCAAACCTACCTCCACTATCAAATATTTCTAAATCACCCATGGCAGAAAAGGTGGACGGAATCCTAAGTGATAATATCATATCCAAAAGGGAAGGTGGACGAAGGAGATACTTGATTAGGTGGAAAGGAAAGCCCGAGTCTGAGGATACTTGGTTAGACCGCGAGGAGTTGCAGCAGATTGACCCAGATGCACTAGAAATCTACAAAAGCACCAGAGACACTTACTCGACAGAGTCGAGCATTCTCCCACCCCAGGAGAATGATGGGGATATCGGATCATGAAAGGTTTATCAGAGACGTGGTCACCGATCCATGGACACGATTGAGTTATTATATTTTTGATATGTTTATGTATTTTCTTATTTATGATGTTGTATTGTATTTTGTTTTAGTTAGTTTCCCGTTGTACCCTTTTATTAAGGGATGTCATATGTAAGCGCTGAGGGCATTGTCGTCTTTCTCATTTTTAAGTCTAATGTACGAGGTTATTTATAACCCCTATGTTTCTCTTTGAAAGTTAATTAATGATTGATGAAAATACTTCTTCCCCTTTGCATGAGTTCTTGGGAGAGCTTGAGAGATCGGAGAGATCCCTAGGAGAGGGAGAATTACGCATCACCCACCAACCTAGACGAGTCGGGTTCGTGGTTCTATTTTTGTATCTCTTCCTTTCTCCCTCCACCACCGCCGACCACTTCATACCCACGATTTGTCCCTACCAAAGCCCCTCCACCACCATCACATAAGTTCTTCCACATTGGTTGAGTCCAACCCTCTCCACTCCTTGCTCACCCGACTCCTTTTCCCCCACAACCCCCACCCACGATTTGCACCCAAACAGCTGGCCCTAGCCCCCTTAGCCACCAGCTCCATCACTTCCACTTCATCCTTGGGTTTCCTAATTTGGTTGGATTTAATTTGGGATCAATTTTGAAATTCAAATCAACTAAAGTTGAAATTCAAAATTCTTTCCTAATTTATCTCATCTATTTTAAGAAAGTTATTAATTTAAGTCTATTTCAAATTCAAATTCAAATTGGATTTGATTAATTCCTTTCCTAATTCCTAAACCCATATTAAGAAGCCTCAATCTCTACCATTAAATGCTCCCCCTTAGCCATTAATGCCGCTGGCCCCTATAGAGGAAATTTAGGATTTATTTCCTAAACCCCCTCTAAACCCTCTTGGAAATAACTCTAAATTTCATCTCCACCTCCTTAGCTGAAATCCCCTAAACCCTCCTATTTAATTTGTTTCCAAAAGAACTCTCCCCTTTTTTGGAATTAAATTAAACCCATCCCACCCTTGCCCCCCCCCCTCACATCCCCTTTTGGAGTTGTTCAAATTTCAACTCCCTTCCTAGAAAAAATCTGAAATTAATTTCAAGTTTTAAACTCTTCCCTCTCCCAAGTTTGAGACAAACTCCTTGGTCTTCCTTTCCCATTGGCCGGCCTCCTTCCATCACCTCCACTTCTAAAGAAACTTCTTCCTCGTCGACAGAGTTCAAGATTACTAGTAATCTTTGGAGGAATTCATCATCTTGCATTCATGAATGGCCGATCTCGATACTGACTACGGACTTGCTTACAACAAACACGGTTTCGTGCACATTCTCCATTCAACCTTCTCCAACATCAACCCGAGGATCGATCACATGGTTGAGGCATCTTGGACACCTTGGTTGAAGCTATTGAAGAACAACTTGAGATCGTCGAGTGGAGGATTGCCACCGATCCTTGACGGAGGTTTTCTACTCTTCCTTTTCTCATATTTCTTAAGTCTAACCTTTTTCTTGTGATTAGATTGTAATCACGAAGGACGCGTTCGCCTGACTCTGCTAAGTTAGTAAACGTAGGAATTTGAGTGCATTCATTTGTTTACTAATCTTATTGTTAGACTAGGGATTTTGTTGAAAACTACTTCTTTGGCATGATGTTATTTTCATAAGTTATTTTGAAGATTCAAAATCGTTTGATGTGCAACTTAGCCTAAACGACAGTGACCTCTCTTACGTTTTGATTCGTCGTTTTATTTGCTAATAGATTTCTTTGTTATTTCTCTAATCATGAAGTTGTGCAAACTCTTAATAAAATCATTCAATCAACGTAGTCCTACATCACGTGGGCTTCTCTTTCGTGCCAGCGAATTCCTTTTTCACTCGATTTAGGAGGTTTTGGTTTACAAATAAAATGAACTATAGCGAGGATTTCTTAATACATTATGATTTAACTTTACACTCTCTCCAACCAAACACCAAAAAATAAAAAAGTAATGTATTTCTTTTACACAACATTTCTTTTTCCTCCAACCAAACAACCCCATAAAGGGAAGCCAAGAAGCAGAAAAGGCTGAATTATGAGATTTGAGGATTTAGATGAGACGGGGTAGAATGAAAAGAGGAACGCTTTATCTACAGTCTATTTTACCTCCTTAAAATTTTTATGGATACACAAACTCTTCATTAAAGTCAAGTGAGCTTCTCAGAACTCACAGCGACCTCTCCCGATATATTTCAAGTATCACTTTATCACGGATCAGAATCCCGTAAGCTGAAGAATAAGAATGATGTAGGATCGATTGAGGAGGCACAAGCAAACAGTTTAGCAATGGAACAGTAAGAACTTGCAACTTGCACAGTTCACTGGTTTTGAGTATATTTCAGCAAAAACTAAGAACACCTTGTAACATCCTTCTACTAAAGAGTAAAGCAAAAGCTAAAAACGGTTAAGCAACTAAAAATGAGCAAATAAAAAGCTATGGCTAAAAACAGCAACGTAAGTGGTAAGAGTTTCTCCTCTAACTAACTAAAGCAGGTCAGGTAAGGTGTTCCGCAGCCCACTGGAACAGCCTCAATAATGCTCCGCATCATTCGCCCTGAGTAGAAGAAAGGTTGATTCCACCTGAATCAACGGCAGTGTCGTCCTCGTCCGGTAGTGGATAGGTGTAGATGTCTGCCACATTGAAAGTATGCGAAGTAGTGAATTCTGATGGCAAATCGATCACATAAGCATTGTCGTTTATCCGGTGTTTGACCGTAAATGGACCAAACTTGCGGCGGCCAAGTTTCGAATACGTCCCAGGAGGAAGGCGTTCCTTTCTCAATCTCACCAACACTTGATCTCCGGGATTGTAAACTTTCTTCCGGCGATGCAAATCAGCGCTCCTCTTGTAGTGCAAATTGGATTCTTGAAGCTTTGCACGGACTTTCGCCAGCATCTCAGTGAATTGATCCGCCAGTGTCGCAGCAGCCTTGTTGTTACACTTAGGAATCACTGCAATATCAACAACAGTGTTGGGAGGTTTAGTATAAACAATAGTAAATGGACATCTACCGGTGGATCGGTTCGGCATGGAGTTGAAGGCGAACTCGGCATGTCCTAGAACGTCATCCCAAAGCTTAGGACTGTCTTGTACTAGGCAACGGAGAAGATTACCCAATGTCCGGTTCACCACCTCTGTTTGGCCGTCGGTTTGAGGATGATAAGAGGAGCTTAGCTGTATATTGGTGTTCATCCGTCTCCAAAGTTCCTGCCATAAGTGGCTTATGAACTTAACATCGCGGTCGGACGTTAGGGATCGGGGGACTCCATGTAACCTCACGATTTCCCGAAAGAATAATTTGGCAATATTGAGAGCGTCGAAAGTTTTCTTACACGGCACGAAGTGTGCCATCTTGGAAAAACGATCGACTACGACCATGATGGAGTCATTACCGCGACGTGTGCGGGGTAATCCCAGAACGAAATCCACGCTGAGATCCTCCCAAATTGAGTCAGGTACGGGCAAAGGCATGTAGAGACCGGTGTTCTGACCGCCTCCCTTATAATTCTGACAAATCGAACATCGTTCCACAAAATGAGCTACGTCACGACGTAGATGAGGCCAAAAGAACTTGGCCTGGAGTTGTCCAACCGTGCTGTCACTCCCCGCGTGTGCTCCCAAGCTACCGCCATGCACTTCCTTGATGATTTGTTGTCTCCAAGACGAATTAGGGACACACAGGAGGTTTCCCTTAAATAAGAATCCATGGCGAATGGAATAATCTGTAATCGGCTCAGATCTTAGACACTTCTGCCAAACTTCCCCAAAGTCTACATCTTCCGGGTACAGATCCTGCAATGATTCTAACCCCAAGAACTCGGTCTACAGCTGCGTAACCAAAGCCGCCCACCGACTCAAGGCATCAGCCACCCGATTTTGCGCACCACTTTTATGCTTCAACACAAAGGTAAATTTTTGCAGGAACATTAACCATCTAGCATGCATCCGATTAATGTCCTTCTGTGTGTTGATGTATTGGAGAGCCTTGTGATCGCTACACAGAACAAAATCTTGTTGAAGTAGATATGGCTCCCACTGTTTCAAGGCCCGTACAGCTGCATATAATTCTTGCTGATATACTGTCCATTTTTGCCTGGTGGTACTTAGTTTTTCACTAAAAAATTCAATAGGTTTATTATCCTGCGACAGCACAGCCCCAATGCCAACTGCAGATGCATCTGTCTCAACAGAAAATGGCTTGCTGAAATCTGGCAAAGCCAGTACGGGAGCGGTGGTAAGGGCCATCTTAATCTGCTCAAAACTGGATTGTTGTTCGGGACCCCAAAAGAATGTTTTAGACTTGAGAATATCTGTGATGGGTGCAGTAATAATACTAAAACCTTTGATAAATCTTCTATAAAAATTTGCTAAGCCATGAAAACTTCTAATTTCTGTGAGGGTCTTCGGAACTGGCCAATCACGTATAGCCTTGATCTTGCGGGGGTCGGTATTCATGCCTTCTGCGGTGATAATGAAGCCCAAAAAGGATACTGATGATGCAGCAAATTCACACTTTGTCATGTTCAGGAAAAGCTTATTACTCCTCAGATTCTCTAGAACACCTTCTAAATGAATCAAATGCTCATCTAATGTGTTGCTATAGACTAAAATGTCATCAAAATATGCAACGCAGCAATGATTGAGGAACGGTCTCAATACCTCATTCATTAATCTCATGAAGGTGGAGGGGGCGTTACAAAGGCCGAACGGCATTACTCTCCACTCATACAGCCCTTCTCGCGTCTTAAACGCAGTCTTCCACTCGTCGCCGGGCCGGATTCTAATTTGATGATATCCACTCCGCAAGTCAAGCTTCGAAAATATTTTTGATCCAGCCAATTTCTCCATCATTTCTTCCATCCGCGGCATTGGAAATCTAAATTTTACTGTAATTTTATTGATTGCCCTTCTGTCGACGCACATCCTCCACGTGCCATCCTTCTTCGGAACCAATAGAGCCGGTACGGCGCATGGACTCAAACTGTGTTGAATCAATTGTTTATCCAGCAGCTCATCAACAATCTGTTGCAATATTGCGTTTTCGTTAGGACCCAACCGGTAGTGTGGTTGATTCGGTAATGAAGCACCCGGTACCAGATCAATTTGATGTTGAATTTCTCTCATAGGTGGTAGCTCGGCTGGTACTTTATCAGTGCAGATATCCGAAAATCGCTTCAGCAGATCAGCTATAGCAGTTGGCATTTCCTTCCCAACAGTGATCGGAGAGATCTCTTTTACTATTAAAGCCATCAAACTAGTGGATTCTCTCCATGCATTCAACAATGCATTAGCAGATACAGCAAACAGAGCATTACCTTTTTTTGGAGATTCAATTGATGAACTGTAGTTGTGTGGAACCAAACGCAGTCGCCGACCCTTCCAATTGTTGACGAATATTTTCGCACCGACTCGACCCCGATCGAGCCCGACTAGGCTCGATCGCGCTCGATCGACTCGATCGATCGACGTCGAGACAAAATCGACTCAAATTAGACTCCAATTTAATTAAATTAAATCAATTTAATTAAATTAAAATTTATCGTATTCTTATGCCGTGCTCGATTATAAAATATGCAATCCGTTTGAGGATACAAAAATTCTCCAACACCAATCAAATGAATATGTGTTGGCTCTACAGTCATAGGTAGCTCCTACATCGTACTGCCACGGTCTCCCCAAAATAATGTGACATACGTCCATGTCTAGGACATCACATAAAACTTCACTAACATAGTGTTTCCCGATAGAGAACGTCACTTTACATAGCTCCGTTACTGTCATTTCAACGCCCTTCTTGACCCAGCTGATTTTGTATGGGTTAGAGTTCTTCGTGGTTTTTAGCTTCAGAGCCTGTACCATGGATCGCGACACAACGTTCTCCGTGCAGCCACTGTCCACCAGTAAATCACACACCTTTCCCCTGCTTCAAAATCTGAGTCAGACGATTCCTCCAACTGATTTTCCCGTGGACGAAGACGCTCTGGTCCCGCCCCTCGCCGCACTACCGGAGCATTCCGGTTGGGAACAATCCGATCTAAGCGGATGGTAATTTCCCTCAGCTCTCGGCGTATTTCTTCGTGGATCCGATGCACGTCATTCTCCAGCTCTTCTGTGCGACGCCCCAGTACTTCGTGCGCTGCCCACAGAGCCTCTAGGCTGTTGTAATCGTTGGGTGCCACCCGCCTGCTGCTTTCGACCATCAAGCTCTGATACCAAATACTGATGTAGGATCGATTGAGGAGGCACAAGCAAACAGTTTAGCAATGGAACAGTAAGAACTTGCAACTTGCACAGTTCACTGGTTTTGAGTATATTTCAGCAAAAACTAAGAACACCTTGTAACATCCTTCTACTAAAGAGTAAAGCAAAAGCTAAAAACGGTTAAGCAACTAAAAAGGAGCAAATAAAAAGCTATGGCTAAAAACAACAACGTAAGTGGTAAGAGTTTCTCCTCTAACTAACTAAAGCAGGTCAGGTAAGGTGTTCTGCAGCCCACTGGAACAGCCTCAATAATGCTCCGCATCAAAGAAGAAGAATGATTTACATGTATAAAGGATTTTTTTTATTGGCCATAGATTCATTTTTCTTTCCTTTATAACTCAACAGATCTATTTGTAGGCCTAATGAAACATCAAATAGGCTATGTAACACTGCCCATGAACAAGCCACCAACGAAGAAACCAAAAGGACCACAAGAACCACAATCATAGCAGAGCATCAAACCTGCAAGCTAAGAACTCAATAGGAGCTACTACGGAAGAGCAGAATAACCGCCTAAGAAATAATAAAATAGCCACAAACCAAAGACTCCCACTCAAAAGAAAAAAAAATAAAAATAAAACAATTGTAAATAAAAAATAAGCTCCGATATAATCATGGAACCATACTAAACGAAAGGATTGGATAACAAAAACCTAATGAATAAAATAACATTATAAGCATGTAAATATAGACTCAAGTTAACCCAACTAATTGATCACACTCAAAATTAAAAAAAAAAAAAAATTCAAAAATAGGAATTCAATATGACCGTTATTATGTAAACATTTTATATTTTCAATGAGCAGCCTTTGAGATTAATAATGTCATTCTTACTATCATTTCAATAGGATTATTTTTTACTGTATCTTTCCTATTTTTTACAACAATCCATCTTTGCAATAGTATTTCTACCATGCTAAACTTATCTATCAACAAATTTTTACCACACCATACTTAGTTCTATGCTCCGTTCTAATTGCAATGAAATATCTGAGTTGAAAGTTAACTAGAACATAATTCGGACAAAAAGATGAGAACAATGCCAAATTCTATGTAATTGTGAGGAAATGGATTAAATTTCAAAATAACCTCCCGACTATTCATATATGATCATTTTAGTCCAAGAGTATAATGTTACTTTGAATTAGTATCTCAACTATACAAAATTGATCCAAAATAGTCCCTTTGAGACTAAATTGGGTTAAATTTCGTAAAATCGGAGGGCTAAATTGGGATCAATTTGATGTCATAATTACTGAGGGACTAATTTGGATCAATTTTATATAGTAGAGGAACAAAATTGGGGCAATGTGATATTTTTAGACTAAATTGGCCATACATGAATAGTCCGGGGACTATTTTGAAAATTTTCTAGATTTTTATGCTAAAAAAGAAGGTTTTGGACATTGGATGTCATAAGCATGTCAAATAAACAGAATAGATATGCCTATACATTTCCATAATAGCAGGGTATCCTTAAACATACATTCATCTTTTGCATCCATGTATATATGAACATTTTCAAACTTTATTTAACTAGAATAATTTATTGATAAGCGGACAGAATATCAATTAGATGAAATATCAGTTCTAGCAGCTTTGCTTCTTCCCACTTGCATTGAGACTCCGAAACATATTTATAAAGGAATAGTTTCGGGGACAATCTTATAACACAAAACTACAATAAATCAAATATGATAAAATGGAACCTAAAAATTAACAATCTGTATGGTTAATGCAAGAAGAAAGAATGATTGAGCATAAAGATAGTCAAACAAACTGTCTACCTGCCTCGAAGGCATAATCACTTGTCATATGATCCTTAACAACAGCAACAGTTAAGCCAGCATTTGTTGTTGCATTTCCACAAACATATATGCCTCGTGGAGAAACTGCTGCTGCTGCTTGTAGAAGTTGGCTCTTACCCAGTCCAGGATCACCTAACAAAGCATTCGCAGGGCTTGAAATTCCATCATTGTTGAATTATTTGCAATGACAACGGGTAAATTCATATGAAGTTAAAAAATAATTTTAAATCATGGGTACCAACTACAATGACATGAATATCCCCTCGAACTGGGACCTTGTTCTCATCCATTGAGTACTTCTGCACCCCTCCAAATAATGCAAGTGTGATCCCAGCTGTAGACCGAAAGAATAAAAATGAACATGTTCTAATTAGATGAACGTAATGAAACTTATGTGGAGTACTTTCTATTAATGATAAAAATAAAAAATGAAGTGAGGCATATCTTCAAAATTGTAAAATTTGATCTTGAAGCCAACTACTTTTGAAAATGAACAGATTCAAGCAATGTATTACTGACCAGAATCCAAATTGAGTTCAATCTGTAAAGTGTAGTATACTGGCCACTGATATTACAGAAAAGTGTAGCTCCCTCTCTCCTCACACATCTCAATCACTCCAAATATATCTCTGTCCTCCTATCCCTCCCTCTCCTTTTGACTCTCTATCTCTACAATTTGGCTCTTATCCTCCTATCTAGCTCTAACAAACACTGTCTTTACAAAAAAATCCCTCATCTCATCTATCACTATAATTATTTCTCTACTTCCATTTTCTATCTCCTATCGCAAATCCTCAGCCCAACTCTCTCTTTCTCTATCTTTAAACCCCTTAGTCAATGCCAATTCTCACTTCAAATTGTTTTTGCTCTAACTTCTCTCCTGCCACACATAGAAAAGATTTGAAATGGACTAAATATACTATGGTCTTTAGAAAACACATTTGATGAGAACATCCAACCATGGAGAGTTCACCAAAGACAGGGCCGATGATCTATGGGCACGATTGCACCGCTTTATTTTTGAGTTATTATTTGTATTAGAACTATTATTATATTTGTATTGAGGTTATCTACATATTTTTCATTTGTACCCTCACTTGAGGGAGTAGTCCTATGTAAGCCCTAAGGGCATGTTGGTCTTTTTGTTTTATGATAAGAAATACTTGAGTTCGCAAGTAACCCTAAGGGAAATACTTGAGTTCACAAATAAACCTAGCAATAATTGGTAAAAACAATGATAAATAAGCTGATTTTAGAGAAGAAAGCAAAAACGACGCAGGAATTTCAGAATATTGGAGAGAAGCATAAGGAAAACTTCTTCTATTCAATCCACGAACAAGAAAAGCAATACAAGATACAAGTTTCTATAATTTGAGAGGAAGAAACAACTCTCCAATTCTGTAGCAAAGCCTAGAGCCCAAAAACACAAACTATAAATCTCAAATCAGATTTCAAATTCAAGATGAAACCTTAATTCTAGCATTATCAACTAATTAAAGCCAAAGGAGAAATACAAAATCCTTAAATAGCCCCTAATTCAAAATTTCCTCCTAAACACCCATTTAATTAATTGCTTGGGCCAACTAGGGCATCCATCCCTCCCCCTTGGTTACGCCCCATTGTTTGGGCCGCCAGCTGTAGAAGTGAACAGGTCTAGGTTGGACCGATTCAGCCGGCCCAAGAAGGGCGGCCTAACATTATTCCGCTCCCAAAGACTCACCTTGTCATTAAAGTGAAAAGAAGGAAACTAGAACCTCACTCTCTCATATGGCTCCCAAGAGGCATCGAAATTGGGAAGGTCCTTCATCTAATCATCACTTCTTTGTTTCCCTTTTTGTCAAATCGGACTCTCCCCAGCTTCGGTGGTTCTAAGACCACTTCCAAGTCCTCTGTCAGTGTGATTAGCAACGCTACACAAACTGCATGCTCCCCTAGAGCTCTTCTCAACTGTGATACATGGAAAACAGAGTGTATCGTGGCGGATGGGGTAACTTCAAACGATATGCCACTGCTTCAATCTTGTCCAAAATCTCATAGGGGATAAAGTACCTCGAAGCCAATTTCTCGTTTCTCCTGTTAGCGATTGATCTCTTCCTGTAGGACCTTCGTTTCAAGAATACTTTCTCCCCAACCTCAAATTGTATGTCCCTCCTATGTCGATCTGTCTGCTTCTTCATAATTTGATGTGCCCTAGACAAATGATTCTTCAATTTCTCCAACACCTTGTCCCTTTCCTCTAAGAACTGCTCAACTGAATAAACCGATGTGATCCATCTCCCAAAATGCACCAAGTGTGGGGAGTCTCTTCCATACAATATTTTAAAAGAAGTCATCTGAGATGAAGAATGATATGAAGTATTGTGCCAATACTCGGTCCATGCTAACCATTTAGCCCACATCCATGGCTTTGCAAACACAAAACACCTCCAATAAGTCTCAAAGCTTCAGTTCAGCACCTCTGTTTGACCTTCTGTCTGCGAATGATAGGCATACTTCTCTTAAGAATAGTGCCCTGCAACCTGAACAGCTCCCTCCAAAATTGATTGAGAAAAACTTTGTCTCGATCAGACATAATCAACTCAGGATGTAAAACCCGCAAAAAGCCTTTTCAGACTTCGCACGCTTTTCAAAGCGCCGCGACGTATTTTAAGTGAAAAATTCGAAGTTGTCGGATTTCGACGCAAATAATTTTATAAAATAGAGCGCGAAATTTCGATCGATTTGGTATAAAGGACTTATACGTAATCTACAGGAATCCCATGTAGTCGAACCACCTCCCTGATGAATGTTGATGCTAGTGTCACTGCGGTGCAGGGATGTCATAAGAGGGTGAAATGTGCATATTTACTAAGTTTATCAACCATCACCATGATGACTGTGAATCTTTCTGCTAGTGGTAAGTCGTCTATAAAATTCATTGACACTTCCTCCCACACTACGTTTGGAAGTGCCAAGGGTTATAGTAGTCCTCCTGGAGCCATTGTCATATATTTATTTCTCTGGCACACTTCGCACCTTACTACCATCTCCTCAACATCTTTATACATCCCCTTCCAGTAAAACTCAGATGCCAGCCTTCTATAGGTCTTATGTACTCCTAAATGACCTCTCACTGCACTGTCTTGGAACTCCTGTAATTTGAGGAATATGTATGGAAGTTTGAGGCATCACAAACCTCCCTTGATACAACAACCTCTCCCCCTCCATATAGTAACCAGAATGGCTACTATTATCTCTCATCAAATCCTCCATGATCTTTCTCAACTCTTTATTCTGCATGCTTTTTTCCTTGATAGCCCCCCATTCTACCATCAACGGCAACGAAAAAAATAGCTCCTGAAGTTCCCCCACACATTTGGATAAGGCATCAATTCTCAAAATCATAGCCCAACAGTTTGAACAACCATCTCTGATGGCGCCGTAGGTGCGCCGCGCCGCGCCGTGCGCCATGGCGCGCACTATTTTGCACCTTACCTCAATTTTTTTTTTGATCGGCCGCCACTCCTTCATGGGACACTACATGTCCCAAATACTCCACACTAGACTGGCCGAAGCTGCACTTCTTTAGGTTAGCCATCAGCTAATACTCTTGTAAAACTTTCAGAACTACCTTCAAATGCTCCTCCATTTTGCTGTACACCAGAATGTCAACAAAAAATACCAGAACAAACTTCCTAAGGTACGGCCGAAATACCCTATTCCTCAAAGACTGGAAAGTAGCAAGGGAGTTAGTGATCCCAAATGGCATCACCAAAAACTCGTAGTGCCCTTCGTGCGTCCTGAAGGCCGTCTTCTAAATATCCTCCCCCTTCATCCTGATTTGATGGTAGCCCGACTTCAAGTTTATCTTAAAAAACACTACTGCTCCATATAGCTCATCTAATAGTTCGTCGATCACTGGGATGGGGAATTTATCTGGCACAGGCTTTTTATTCAACGCCCTATAATCCACACAAAACCTCCAGCATAAGTTAGCTTGCTGCCCACCTTCCATAACTTGCCAAAATGCTGTCCAAATACATCTAGAATGTTCGTGTTGCTGTAGTCTCTTTATCAGCACCCAAAATGACCACACCGTAGCTTCGTATCCTCTTCCTTTGCATAAACTCTTCCCCTTTCTCTTTTACCTACTTACTCTCTTAATTTTGACATCATAAAGGTTGTGTAATTTGTCTCCGCATAACCAAACATCAAGAGTGTGAGTGAGTGGATCCTAATAATAACTAGTCTAAATGTTAAGTTAAGGATTTCCTTTGAAAATCCCTTCATGTTATGCTATGTTTGATTGGAACTGATTATTTATGATTCTAATTCTTATCGTGTAATTTGGCCTAAGCTTAAATCACATATTTCTTGTTTTCAAGATTTGTTTAAATAGCTAAAAGTAAACTTAATTATTTTTGCTCTAATTTAACAGCTTTTAATTTCAACATTGCAGAATTACCTATGCATTTAGTTCTACAACATTTTGATATCAGAGCATGGTTGCATTTAGATGCTATTACAAATTTTTTTTTATATTTTAGCATCTAAGTCGCATCCTGCATGCATTAAAATTTACTTGCCTAATAGCATATAAATTTATTTCATACTTGCATAGTTCTGAGTCACCCTTAGACTTAGGATGGACCCAGAACAAATTTACAGGACCATAGATCTGTTGGTAGGTCAAATCAACAATATCATCCAACAACTTAAGGAAAATCAATCTGACCTAGCTGAGCTCCGTTGTCAAATGACGAAATGATTTGACACACTAGAACAAATTAGGAATCACCCTACACCTTACATAATGTCTAGACCTTCGCTATATGGGGACGATACCTTACCGGATTAGAGACACCCGCGTGGCCCTTATCGTGCCCCTCAATACGGTCATGACTTTCATAATGACCCTAATATACCTCTGTTGAAGAACATCAATGTAGATGCCCAAACTTTGACGGTACCCTCGATCCCCAGCTCTTTCTGGACTGGATCAAGGACATGGATAATTTCTTTAAGTGGTACAACATCTCTAAAACTAGGAAGGTTAGATTCGTTGAAATGAAACTCACTGGTAGGGCGCATCAATTTTGGGCCAACACAGAAAGCCTTCAATGAAACGTGAGCTCAAAACAAAAGTATTTGCCTCATTCATATTTCGTCATCGAGCATCGTCATCGAGCAGAGCTCTGACATACAACCTTGGATAGGTCATACATCCTTGGTGAGTTCTCAACTTCATATACAATATCAATGGAGTTACATAAATACATATTCATGTGTATATTTATTCTCACTAGAACTTAAAATTAAAAAGTACATTGACATCATCAATACAAGTTACTATCA